TTTCGGCAAATGCTTCAAGCTAAACAAATTAAGACTGGTTGCCAGAACTGGCAGGAAACACCCCCTAAAAATTTCAGCTTTCCAGTTTTTCTGGCTCCCGAGTTAGCAACTTACTGAAAACTTTCTCGAGCCCGCACGCGAGTACTACGCATGCCCGATGTCTGGGTTTGAGCTCGCTGAGACTTACTTGGACGGGGAACATCTTAAAACTACAGTCTTTTAGCTTTACAGGTTCTGGAGTCATGAGCTTACCCGAGAAAAACTTTGGTGAACCCGTGCGTAGGTACCACGCATGACCGAGGACTGGGTTTGATCTCGTTGAGACTAATGCGGACGAGAAACATCCTCTTAATGTTACAGTCTTCTAGCATCTCAGATCTCCGAGTTATGAATTTACGCAGGAGAAACTTTGGCGGGCCCGTACGCGGGTACCACGCTTAGCCGGGGGTTGGGTTTGAGCTCATTAGTACCTGCCTGGACGGGAAACATTTCCATAAAATTTCAGCTCTTCAGCTTTTCTGGCTCGCGAGTTATCAACTTACCCGTAAAAAAATTTTGGCGGGCTTGTACGCGGGTGCCACGCTTACCCGGGGTTTGGTTTTGAGCCCATTAGTACCTGCCTGGACGGGGAACACTTCCATAAAATTTCAGCTCTCTAGCCTTCCTGGTTCATGAGTTAGCAGCTTACCCGTAAAAAACTTTAGCTGGCTCCTACGTGAGTACCACGGGGGAAAGACTGCCCATTTTGGGGATGGGGGTCCGTACGTGCATGTACATTAAGGTCCCCAAAGTTTCAGCCCTGTAGCTTTCGTGGATCTCGAGATGAAAAATCGGTACATACACACAGACACACACACAGACACACACACAAACACACACACAGACACACACATATACACACACACAGACAACCTTTCGTCAATATGCGTTTTTCGCATTGCACAGCTGTAAAAAACGCATAAAAGGCGGAATACACCGAAAATTTATTTTGTGGTAAGCTTCATCTCCCCAAAAAGCTTTCTTTTCCAATCGTATACGTGAAACAAATTTAAGAAATGTTAAAACTGCATTTATCAAAATGCACAGCATAAGCAAAACATGAGAAATGAAGCACAGAATGCAGCGGCGCAATCCAAATATACAGAAAATCGAAAATAAAAGCGATTCACAAAACCCCCCAAAAAAAGTCTTAAAGGAAAGCCAATAATTTGGGTGTTGTTACGGCGATCACTGCTCTCCAATAACCCATGAAGAAGTGATGGCCAAGATGTACAGATCTATTTTTATCGATGTTTTTGTTCCATCACTGAGACAACAATCTCTACGATTCGTTCATTCGTTCCGATAATATAATGGTACTGGCATATGTTACACTGAGTCATCAATAGCATCATAGACTGTTGCTCTCCGGATAGGAGCCAACAGCAACTTTGCCACTGACTGGTTACTGCTGGCACGTGCTATCACTCCGGCTAATCCGTAAGCTGATAAAAAACAGAAGTTTTTGAGATCGACTAAATAATTTTTGTCATTTTCTTATTTGACCATAAATTTAGGCACGAAAAAGAGGGCCACGTAAAATTTCGCAGTGCAAGCCTTTGCAGTTCTGGCTTTGAGACTCCCGTAATTAGCTCAACGTATGTTTACCGGCAAGTAATGGTCATTGTGGAGCAACGAAAGAGTCTTAGTTAAGCCGGAGAACCAAGCAAAACAGCAAAAGGAATGCAATGCGTCTGATATTTCTTTCCTGAAACAGCATAGAAAGCGTGTAAACGACAGGACCACGCGAAGGCTATTCACCGGGCAATACAACATTGGTCACAATAACCAGTAAAAGAGTACCAAATGCGTAGGTACGTTTCTTCCACGGATCAGGGAAAAGCATGGGAAGATAAGACGGCAGGAACTGATTACGAGGAAGGAAGAAACCTAAATCCATGAAAGTTAATATTTAAGATTATGCAGCTGATACTATTTTACAAAAAGCACTAAAATTTTAAAAATAAGCGTACAAAGTGGACAGAGTATACAAAGCCGTGTAGATTAAGACTGTTCTGAAGGCTGCTAAAATGCCACATTCGCCGCTGTAGAACTCTGTTCTGGGACTGCATTAACATTATCCTCAGATTGCCGTAGTTCAGATTCAGTCGCCACTGAATTGTAGCCGATGTCGTCCTCTTCCTCAGCATTCTCCTCAGCTACGGCAGGGAAGAAATCACGATCCGGCCACAATTCTTCGAAAATTGCTTTTGTCTACAAAACAAAAGAAAATAAACATGCAACATCTTTGGTGATAAACTGCAGATATGTGCTATTTTGCTAGGTTGTTACTCAACTCCTCAGCTCTTACATCGAGGACATTTATTTCTATACAGTTGCTGTTTCATGTTTTATACATATTTGTTGTAAAAACAGAAAAAATTGCGGTCGCTAAGGAAATAACTGTGGCACAGAAAAAACAATCCTTTTTAAATATTCCTTTTTAAAAAAACCCGTTTTACAAGTTGATATTGAAGGACCCTAGGAATTTGGAGCTTTCATAAGGATGCTGCTAAACAAACTTTGTACGACGAAGCCTCAAGAAATCATTGGCGACATGCACTGGGTGGGCCCGTGTGACCATGCGTTTTTGCAGTGTTTCGTGTTGTTGTTGTAATAAGGTCACTCGAAATTCCGCTAGCAAGAAACCTCTGATACACTGATTTTCGAATTTCGGGAAGTTAATTGCCCACACTATACCTGGACAGGGAAAATACCCTTGACATCCCAGGTCCCCAGCTTTCTCAGTTCCCGAGTTACTTAAATCACAGCCAGAAAATTTCATGGGGCCGTACATGGCAACCACGCATAATGGGGGGGGGGGGG